TGACCGGCACGTCTACTCTGCTCCGGTCGGGCGTTCCCTGGGCCAAGGCTCTGCTCCCTGCAGCTCGGGCCGGGAGGGGTGGGAGGAGGAACCAGAAAGCCCGGGAGGGGCAGGGGCGGGTTTGGAGCCTGGCTTCCCGTCCTTGCCTCTGGGGTTCCCCACTCGCCCAGGACATCTGCAGCAGCGTTCTCAGGAATGAATGGACGCAGACTGGCCCCATGCGTGGCATCTTAAGGGGCAGCGTGATCGCCATGTGGGACATTTGCCGTGAAAGAATGAAGTCCTGCCCAGCCAGTGTGGCTCAGTGGGTTCAGTTCCCGGTCGGACACCTGCCTGGGTGGTGGGCTCAATCCTGTATGGGGCGTGGAGGCAGCCGATCAATGACTCTGTCATCAGTGATGTTTCCGTCTCCCTCTCCCTTCCTCTCTGAAATCAATAAAAATGTCTTAAAAAAACACACAGTGAAGTCCTGAGGACGCCTGCGTGGTGGACGGGAGAACATGACGAATGAGGAAACGGCCGCGTGGGCCCGTTTGCCGGCGATCCTGACCCTGCGGCTCTGTTGTGGCGGGAATGGAGATACGGACGTGCTGTTCTGGGGGGACTTCTGAGCTGAGTGCTGACTGTCACCCCAAGTACTGAAACTGCCCTGTCAGACGTCCATGCGGACCCCAGGGCTGGGAGGCACCAGGAGAGGGGGGTCCGGGTGGGGGCCATGCCCCTGCCACCACTGCTGGACACCCACCCAGCAGGCCCTCAGCACCCAGGACGGCTGAGCTTGTCCAGGACTGGCCGGGCACTTGGGATGGTACAGCCCCCGGGGGGCTTGGCCCTGGACCCTGAGAACTGCAGCCACGGGCCCTGCGGCTCCGGAGCACGTGGGACTCGGCCTCTCGGCTTGCAGTGGCCCGTCCCGGGGTCCCCGTGGAAGGCTGTGGGGAAAGGTGGCCAGTCGGTTCCCAAAGGGGAAGCAAGCCCAGGTGGGGAGGGCAAGGCGTCTCCCTGCTGACCCTTGGGTGTCGCCAGAGCAGTGTCTCCGCAGGTCAGTCCCTGACACGTTTCTGCCCACACCCGACAGACAGGCCAGACGGGAGACACGCCCCCTTATCCTGCTCCCTGGGCACGGGCCCCTGGACCGAGTCCTCGCCCAGCCCTCGCCCTGCCTGGCTCCCCTCCAGGAACAGAGGCTGGTCCTTCCTCCTCCCTCCACCCATCCCTGCCCCAGGCCTTCCCAGTACAGCACGTGGTGCCCCAAGTCCAAACAGTGCCCAAGTGTGTTCTCGGAGCGGCACCACCCTCCAGTTTCAGGGGCGCAGCCAGGACCTCCCGTGTTAGATGAGCCAGTGCTGCTGTGCTGGGCTGCCCCACCAGGTGGCACCACTGACCCGCCGCCTGGTCAGGCCTCAGTTCAGGAGCCACCAGAGGCAGCGGGTAGTGGCAGGCGCACAGCCCAGGGGGCCCAGCACAGCCCTTGGCCCATCCAGGGATCTGGGCACAGGAACAGCTCAGATGGGTCCCCACCCAGCAGCGGGCAGTGCTGCCCCCTCTCGCTGGGCCCAGGCTGTAGCTGGTGCCGAGGGGCAGGAGGCGGCAGGAAGTGAAGCATGGCACAGAACACCTGCTTTAATGCATTAGGCAGAATTTTACACAAAACAGAAACCCATGATCCGTCCCTGCTGCAAGTAGTAAAAAATGAAAGATGCGTCGCCGGACTTGTGTAATCAGACCCAAATCCAAAGCCCGCACTGATCTGTGGCCCGGCCTCAGGCTACTTCCCATTCTCCGCGCTGAACATCCGGTCCTACAGGGGGAGAGGGAGGGGCCAGGAGAGGGCGTCAGGCTCCCTCGGTGGGTGCACACGCCGATGGGGACTGGGCGGCACATGGGGTCCCTAGACGCGCCAGCCCTGCCCGCTCACCCGCACTCACCGCCAGCACCCGCTCCAGTTTCACCGCGTCGGCAGCGAACTTGCGGATGCCGTCCGAGAGCTTCTCCACGGCCATCTGGTCCTCGTTGTGCAGCCAGCGGAAGGCCTTCTCGTCCAGGTGGATTTTCTCCAGGTCGCTGGCCTGTCCCGTCCCCCACCCCCAGGGAACCCAGGTGCGGGGTGGGGCCTCACCCGCCTTGGCCGACAGCGTGGGCGCCAGCTTGCTGCTGTCCTTGAGCAGCTCCCCCAGGAGCTTGGGCGAGATGGTGAGGAAGTCGCAGCCGGCCAGCGCCTTGAT